GGCAATCGGATTTAATGTTCTGTGCTGAAAAATACAGTGGCTTCCCTGGGTAATGAAGTTAAAATACCAATAAAATCTTAGGAAAATATGCTCCCTCCTCTTTTATTGTTCTCTAATGATTTTCTGTTACCGCAGTGCCTAGAAGACCCGGGAGTGACTCACTGGTCTTCTGAAAACTGGGATTGCGCAGTCCTCTTTGGAAAGGCTTTTCAACCCAAGGACAGAAATGCTTGGCAGATCGAAAGCATCTCAAATCCGCTTCTTAAAAGCGGTGGTGGCATATTAGGGGCCATAGCTTTACTGAGGCGGGCATTCCCCACTGGCAGGAGCTGGTGCAGTGCCTCTGGTCCATGGCATTACCTGGTCCACCTCCATCTATGAGACCAAGGTCGTTTCTGTTTTCTAATGGTCAAATACTTGCTTGGCTCCTTGGTCGTCACTCGTTATGAAGCTTCTCATAAGTATTGGGATGGAGATGGCTGTGCTGTTTCAGCTCCCACCCAGAGGCATAGCTCAGTCCCTCCTTCCACCCAAACTTCCCGCCTGGCTTTGGATAAGCTCCGTAGCATCGCTGGTGCTTTTATTCTCTAGATTATAGAATTGCTTTGCCTCATAGCTTTGGGTGAAAAAAGCTTTTGAAGATCACCGTTGGGTCTAAAAGCCTCAGCGAGGATCCTTGCGTGCAGATCAGAACGAGGGGGAATTGTGGTGGGTTTTGTGTCAACTCCAAGTTGATGGTTTGGGCCCCTGGGACCTCGGGCTTCAGGGTGAATAGCTGGCGAGAGCGGGGGTGTGGCTGGCGTCAGGGGCGGAGGGGTGATGGAGCCACGAGAGCGATGAAGGGATGAGAAGAGTTATGGACAGTCTTGAAGGAGAGGACCATACTTGAGCTTTCACGCAGGAAAAAAAGCCAGTGGAGAGGTTTGCAGAGGACAACGTGTAATCTGCTTCAGACCCCTGGAGAGGACGCATGCAGCAGAGCTGGGCTGAAAACACCAGATTTGGGGGAGGAAAAGGGGTTATAGAATCGTGGCTTATAGAAAGTATAATCTCTGCTCTCTCCATCGCTCTCTCTGCCCAGGGTCTGGCTGATGGCATGCATCGCGTTACGAGAGGTTTGCATTCAGGGCTATGGCTTGTCTTGCCGACAAGACATTGTGTCTGAATCCTTGTCACACAGAAATGGGAACTGTTTACTCTTCTGCTTCTTGCATTTTTACGAGGAAAAAAGTAATGATGACAAAAACAAGGCTTAAAATATGTTGAATGGGGCTTTTATTCAATAAGGCAAAGCTACTCTCCAAGCTTCTTTCTAGTCTGTTTGAAAATAAATAATCTACTTAATTTTTTTTGCACCACGTGTTACCAGAGGCGAATTTCTGATGGAGGACAATGGGGCTGATATTCAAGTAGCTGCTACTCTGAACCGCAACCTCTGACGGCTGAACTTCAGAGCACCAGAAAAACAACAGTATTGCTTGCAAAGAATGCCTCTACAGGGTTTGGGCTTGTTATTAGCCTTCTCGCGCTAATGATCTCCAAAATTGCAAACGATGAGGGAATTTGACTTTAACAATACCATTAAACAATAATGCAAGAGGATGATTTCATGCTTTTTTTTTTTTCCTCTGGTGCTTTAAGATATTGTGCTGTAGGAGAGTGTGGGTTTTATTGATTAGATCTAAAGCTGGCTGGTCTAGCTTTCTCATGATTAATTGGAAGCTGACTTTGTAATACAGCGTGTGAAGAAGTCTTTGGGGGTTTTGTTAGTGATAAATGCACTCTGAAAGACTTTGCAAGAATGCACTTTTCACTGGGAAGGGCTTGTGCACCTGAACGCTTGCGTGCTTTTCCCAGCTCTGCTGTTAATCGGGAAGAAGATAGTAGTTCTTCCTACCAACTTGGCTTTGACTAAGGAAAAAAATACGTCTTTTGTGCATAATATAGGTTCGGTTGTGTTTTCCCACTTCTCTTGCTTTCAAGCTGTTTGACCATTGGAAATGCATTCCCTTGGTGTCCAGTGGCTTCCTATAAAGTGTTTCTGAGGGATGTGCGTTATTTAAGGCATTTGCAGAGGGATGCAGTTAAATACGCAAACCTTAACAGTTATTTCAGCATCCCAGCATTGTTTGTCGTGTTGCACGTGGTTTGTATGTCCAGCCATAACTCCATGGTACCTTTGGGTTTCATAGCTTGAAGAAAGTTTCCTATTTTATGGTACTTCAAAGAAAAATAATATATGTCTCTTTATTCTTACTTCTGTAGAGTGTGGAACGTCCATCCTTACAAACCAGATGAGTTTCTGAGTGACTGCAGGCTACGTTATTTTGGGGGTTCCCGCTGCGCTCCCTTGACAGCCCAGAGCAGCTTTGTTCTGCATTTCCAGAGTGGGTTCTGCATGTGGCTGCAGAGAAAATCACTGCTTTTGTATGCACGCCTTTGTTGTGCTTTATTTTGCTGAGAATAAACCAAGGTAGAACGGATTCATTCTGGTGAGGCATGCCTTCACTATTGTTTCACAGGTTATTTTGAGGTATTGTTTCCCCTGGGATTTTTCCTCTCTTTGCTTTTTGACCTTTTCGCCTCCTATAGTGATTTTCTTGATTAGAAGTATGGAGTCGTAATGGGTTTACATGGTGTTTCTAAAATTAAGGTAATTTGAGGGCTTTAAATCGGGGGAGGAGGGAAATGGCGATTGTTCCAAACTTCTCTGTCGCTGTTGCGTAACTACAGAGCAAATCCGACTTCTTGTTTGGGAGCAGGTACGTGCTCGCTGGGCTCCTCAGAAATCCTCTCGTTCTCCAGGCGCAGAGGCTGAGAGAATCAATTCCCCATGACTTTGAGGATGAGGAGTTTCAGTGAAATGACGGACCAGGGCAGTCATTTCTTTTAGACCGCCCCAGAAGGGGTGGGTGCCGTGGCCGGGGTGCTCCAGAGAAGCCCTGCCCCGCTCCAGCTGCCATGCAGGGGGCTCGGCCACTGCAGGTGTGTTTGCACATCCCCTCGGCTGGGACACCCACACTCGTGGTCCTGCTCTGCCAGCTCCGGCATCTCATCTTCCAAACCCAGCAAAGATCCAGGTCTTGCACCTCCAAATCACGAGCCCCGATTAAGGGGACGAGCGTGGGGCACCCGAGCTTAGCGGGCAAGTGCCCGTTCAAGCCCTGCAAGTGTGTTTGCTCCATATTTTCCTAAAAGGATGAAACTGATACTTGTGCAAAACGTTTCTGGGTGGTTTTAAAATGCTGGGAAGCGCTCAGCCATGGGAATGGCCACAGTGGGCCAACCAAGGCGCCTGCCCAGCTCGCTGCTTTGCTCCCCGCGCAGGGAGGGAGCCCGCAGAAGCCGTCCTTGGCGCTCAACGTGTTTTTCAGACATAAGTGTTGCTTTCAGCAACCTTCATGTCGTAATTCTGCAGTAGTGTCCAGCCAGCAGCATTTCACTGAAGGTTATTTCTCCTTTTGCATCTGTGTGGCTGCATCATATTTTGCTAGATGGGTGGCAAACATCTGCTCGTTCTGCTCTGCAAATCCTCTCCCTCGTTGCGGCCACACCAAATAACAGGGAGTAAATGAGTTTAATTTAAGGCACAACAACATGCACCCTTACGTCCAGACCAAAAGCTGCAGAGTCCAAGAGCAGCGAGTGAATATATTAATCATATCTCAGGGGGTGGCGAATGGAAAAAGCATCACTTGCTCTTCTGACCGGCGCAGCTGTGCCAGCTGCCGGTCCCCAGCCGGACAGCGTGGCCCTTCACGGCCTGACCCGGCGGCCGCGCATCCCCGACCTCCCGCAGCTGCGGCCCCTGGAACAACGGGCCCCTTGAGTCATCGGAGAGAAACTTCGCCTTCATCGGCGTGGGAGCGCGCAGCCCAGTGGGGCTCAGCGGTGCCCTGCACCCGGCAAGCAGCTTGGCCATCCCTTGCCCGGCCGTCGAGCTCCGGAGCGTGATCCTGAGCATCTCCCTCCATCCAGACGTGGACCTCTTTGAACCCCTGTCTGCTGGTCACCGTGGGTTAAGGCCGTTGCTTGCGTAATTAAAAGTGCTATGGAAGTAGGCCCTAGGAAAACTCCTCTCTGTCTTTTTGCTCGCACCATTGTGTCCATTACCAGGCTAGGCATGGATGACTGGTGGGTTACTTCTTCAGGAAATCTCGGTTTAAGGGCATTTGTCTCAAAGCAGTGTGTGCTCATAGCTGGTGTGGTCGTAATTACTGTCACGAGCTATTTTTATTGGTTTTTTTCCTAGGTAAAACGTATGTTTCGGTCATTTACCCTCACTGTCATTTCTCTTTCTGACTTGGTCTTATTAGAAAGACAGTATTTAATGGGTAGATTCCTTTTAGCCAATATTTCATATTTTTCTGACTGATCAGTGATAAGCGTGATAGAAAAATAAAACCTGGGTGAGAACAGAGTAGCAGAGTTGGGGTTGTTCAGCCTGGAGAAGAGAAGGCTCCAGGGAGACCTCCTTGTGGCTTTTCAGTATATAAAGGGACTCCTAAGAAAGATGGAGAGAGACTTTTTACCAGGGCCTGTGGTGACAGGACAAAGGGTAAGGGTTTTAAACTGAAAGAGGGTAGGTTTAGACTGGACATAAGGAAGAAACTTTTTATGATGAGAGTGGTGAGATGCCCAGAGAAGTCGTGGATGCCCCATCATTGGAAGTGTCCAAGGTCAGGTTGGATGGGGCTTTGGGCAACTTGATCTAGTGGAAAATGTCTCTGCTGGGGTGGGGGGCATGGATTAGATGGGCTTTAAAGGTCCCTTCCAGCCCAGACTATTCTGTGATCCTATGATGGTTTCAGCAACCATCTTTATTTAAAACAAAAAATGCTCCGCAATGTTGAATGTACGTTCTCCCAGCCAAAAAAAAAATAGCTTTGTACACCACATTCATGATCTGAAGAGCCTCTTCTGAGGATGAGAGGGGGTGCAGAAGATGCTGCAGGCGACGTGGGTGGCACAAGCCACCAGTGCCTGTGACAATTCCCGTGATGGCATGCGGTGCCACGCTGCGGGACCTGCCCGGTGGCACTGCTGCGGAGGTGGCTTCTGGGAAGGTCCCCTGGCTCTCGAGGGACACGGCGGAGCTGAGCTGCTGCGTGGGGGGCTCGGGAGGAGCCCGGTGACGGGAACAGGGCAGGGGGTCGGTCCCCATTTCGGT